CAGCCCTGGCCCGTGGCGGGCAGGCAGGAGGGTGGTTGACAGTATCCGTGCCGTGAAGTCCCCATTTACAGCCGCCCACGGGGCGCGCTGGCCCTCGGCAGGTGTCCCGTACGGCAGAACTCTGCAGCCTGGTCGCGGGTCACTGTCATCACGGAGAGAGATTTTCCCTTCGCTCTACAAAAGTTTTTACTTGGACTTTTTCGCTGGCATAGCTTTTTTCCCCAGCCGGCATGCCGCCTGGGGATCCCCATTGCCCATGGCTTGCTAATTGGGCGGGAAGGGTTCCGCTGCCCGGGAACCCCCTTTCCGTGCCCTCAGGTCTCTTCGGCCCCCCACCCTGTGCCGCCTGCGCAGCCCTGTCGTGAAGGGCAGCCTTACCCGCTGTGGGTCCCGTAGGAGAACAAACTCACGGCATCCTCACAGACGGGACACCTTCAGGAATGGAGAGCTGCTGGGCTGCTTGTCCTCTGGGGCTGGAGGGGGGGCTGCATGCTGCTGCCGGGCGCCCAGGTGGGTGTGGAGGGTTGCGGAAGGCGTGGGAATGCGTTGTTTCCCTGTCTCCAGAGCCAGACTCTGCTGGGGCCCCATCTCCGGGTCAGGCGACCACCGGCACCGGGGCGAGAACAACCCCTGCCAGCCTCGGGCATCCGCGGGGGTTGCACAACTCCTCCACCCCCCATCTTCCACATTCCCTTTTATCGCCCAGTTCTTCAGGGCGGCTCCTTGCCTCACCCCTCGGCGTGGTATAGGGACAAAAAGTAGTCTCTATCGGGGTCTTGGAACGGAGGAGAAGGCCTTACGAGGAGAGGGACACGCTCCGGGTTGACAGCGACATCGCGTGCAGATTTCCTGGGTCTCCGGTTTGCTTTAATGACTGGAGACGCGCTAGAAAGAACTTCTAGTTAAGATTTCAGCTACTGTGAGAGCGTGCGTTAACAGCTCTAACAAATCACGTGCGCCTGTAATTTGCTTTCAAGAAATTGTAACTGTGACATTTGTGCAGATCAACTTAAAAAGCCTTCTTTCCCCCAGCTTTCTTAGGGTGTTCGCTGTGGGCCATCTGGCAGGAATTTGTTTAACAGTGTTTTTCTTAGGAGCAACAGGAAATTGAGAGAAAACGCTCAATTCTGTAAAGCGGCCTCTATTGTAGCTTTGCTGCTTGGGCTGGTGTTTTTCTTCTTGTTTGAGGGGTTTGGTTTTTTTTTTTCTTGGTGTTCTTTTTTTTGTGGTTTTGTTTGTTTGTTTGTTTGGGGTTTTTGTGTCTTTTTTTGTTTTGTTACTGTTGTTGTTGTTTGTGGGATTTTGGGTTTTTTTGTGGTTGGTTTGGTTTTTTCTCCTCCCCTCCCCACCGCTGGAGCTCCTCCAATGCAGGTCAGTGGGGGTTATTTTCGAAACGAGCCCACCCAGTGCCCCCTGGGCAGGAGTCATGTCTCCTGTTTTTGTGGGCAGTTTGTCCACCTGAGCCACGGCGCCCAAGCTTTTCCTCCCCCACCTTGGGTCAGCCTGTTCTGTGGAGTGCAGGATACCCTCTTGGCAAGGGTGAAGTGAAATGTCCTCCCTCTTCTCTGACCTTTTCCTTTTAAACAAGGCCTAGGATGGCCGAGCGGTGCTGGGCAGGGAGAGGGAGACAGATCTCATTGCACACCTGGCGGCATCGTCTGTGGGACGTGCCCCAGCACTGCCACCCCTTAACCTGTGCTATCGCCTAATGTTCGTGAAAAGTTGTAGCTCTGGCCCTAGAATGCAAATTTATATTTGCATTATATTTATGCTTGCTCAATAGGGAATTTACAGGTGGGGGAGAGGGGCTGGGGTAGAGGGAGGAGAAAACAACAAACATGCAACTTTCATCTTTGTTCAAAACTCATGTGCAAGAGGTTACTAAACTGATGCTTTGCATCATCTTTAAATTGACATGACAGCAGTGCTTGACCACCCTCTCAAATGAATAAGAACATTGTATGTTCATTGAGCATCTGTCCATTGCATTTGTGGCTTTCCAAATAAAGGAAATTAATGAGTATCACAGTTCACAGATTGTGAGCTTCTGTGATTTTGTGCTTTTAGAGAACTGTAAGCCTTCTTGCAAAGGTGTAGTTGTATTGTTGTTGGGTTTGAAGGAAGAAGCTCTCTGTCTTGTACATGTGAGCTCTTCCTCCAAACTTTCCCAGCTGAGCTGCGATCCTTCCAAGGTGCAGTTAGATGCAGTCAGTGCAACGTGCCTGGGGTGTACGGGCACTGCTGTGTTTCTTACCCACCCCACATTGAAATGGAGGCCAAAGAGCTTCTGAAAATACCCAACTTACTACCTGCTGCATCCCAAAGCACTGGACGGTCACAGGGGCTGTCAATCACCCCATCCCATGGAAGCACAACTAGCTTTGGGGTAACCTCAGCTATTGTGCCTGTACATTACAGTCATTGGTCATGTCCTATTGGTCATGTCCTATTGCAAATAATAATTTTCTGTACTTCAAATCTTGATTTAAATCCTCTTGAGCATTCATAGCCATGCTGCCTTACATCAGAACAATGTATAGGAGACTGAGCATTTGTTGCTCTGGAGCTCTCATTGGATATTTCCCTCTGAACTGGAAATGGGAGGTTTTGGAGTTGATAACTTTTTTACTTCTATTTTATAAAGGCAAACATAGGTATAAAAGAAACTTACAATGAGCATTTGTCACAGTCTTCCATCCATCTGCCCCACTTCTGAAAGCATCCTGTGAGAGAGTTAAGAGCATAGAAGGTGTACTTCACTATATTTTTTAGAAAAAGAGGACAGAAAATGCACTAAAATTATTGTGCTGTTTAACTAAAAAAAGAAATTTATTTTTTTCTTGCAATTTAATTTTTGTTAAACTGATTTGTAAAGTTTAAATCTATTACAAGTTAGTCAATTCTGCATATAATGCATCTGATATGCAAATACGGAAAAACCACTGTGGCAAAAAACCAATGTCATAACACCTACTTTTACTCTGGGAACATAGTACCTGTACATACACAAAAGCCAAGTTTGTGGTCTCAACAATTTGAATCTTGAAAGTGACATTAAACTGGTCATACCCAGGTACTCCATTACTGAAAAAGTAATATTTAAACTTGTAGTTGGAAATCATGCTAAAAAGCTTTATATTTTATGTTTTCAAGAAAAGGCACTCCACAAAACCCTGAAGCCAAGGTATTTGAGCAAGTTTTTCTGTGTAGTTTTCTCTTGTTGGTGTCAGGAATGAGAAGTAATACGTTATATGATGTTACATAGTTACTCTATTTTTTTAGCATCACTAAAATATTTGTAAGGAATTAGAAAGTGTGATCAAACAAATCCTATCTGCAGTATTTCTGAGAGAACTTATTAAGTAACATATACAAATAGTCTGAATAACTAAGAAAGTTCTCCTTAGTTGAATAAATGAGTACATGAAATCTTTATAAACTCATTAACTCAAAGGAAAATTATTTCACAAGTTATTCCAGGAAAAGTAAATGCAACTCTATTTGGAATATGTAACATTAACATCCTAAAATATGTCAATGAACAGGTGGACTATTTAAAGAAAATATGATAAGGGAGAACTACTGATTTTGACAGACTTAAGACCTTACCCCACCATAGCAAAACCTATTTGTCATCAAAGTGTAGTACATCCAGCTAATACTAAACTGACTAATGTTATCTGACTTCATTGAGACTCCTTGATATGTGATAGAATGCAAGTTTCTGGTGTCAGGCTTTTGCAGGTAAAATTTTAATAAATGTCAGTAAATGCTTAGAAAATCATGAGTCAGTAATAAACTGTTACTGCATCACATAATCAAAAATACAAACATGTACAGTCAATATACACCTCTCTAGAATGAACAAAAATTAAACCAGAAGCCTGAGAACTTATTTGTACCTCAGCAATGCTTTTACTTTACATTTCATCATACTTACATTCCAAATGATACCTTCCATTAT